CTAGGACTGAACTAGAATAGAACTGAAGTGGAACTTGAACTGAATCGATCGATCGATCTATCTATCTATCTATCTATCTATCTATCTATCTATCTATCTATCTATCTATCTATCTATCTATCTATCTATCTATCTATCTATCTATCTATCTATCTATCTATCTATCTATCTATCTATCTATCTATCTATCTATCTATCTATCTATCTATCTATCCTATCTATCTATCGATCTATCTATCTATCTATCTATCTATCTATCTATCTATCTATCTATCTATCTATCTATCTATCTATCTATCTATCTATCTATCTATCTATCTATCTATCTATCTATCTATCTATCTATCTATCTATCTATCTATCTATCTATCTATCTATCTATCTATCTATCTATCTATCTATCTATCTATCTATCTATCTAGCTATCTATCTATCTATCTATCTATCTATCTATCTATCTATCTATCTATCTATCTATCTATCTATCTATCTATCTATCTATCTATCTATCTATCTATCTATCTATCTATCTATCTATCTATCTATCTATCTATCTATCTATCTATCTATCTATCTATCTATCTATCTATCTATCTATCTATCTATCTATCTATCTATCTATCTATCTATCTATCTATCTATCTATCTATCTATCTATCTATCTATCTATCTATCTATCTATCATCTATCCATTAGAAAATTTTAAAATTCTGTTGCATCGTTTTGAAATATGAATAACATTTTCTGAAATACAACAAAAAGTTCCGAATTGCTATTAGAAATGGTGAAGAAAATAAACTTTTAATTTCTATTTTTGTTATAGTTGTAAAAACCATTGATTTTTATTTTGAATTTTTGTGCTCATGTTCACTGAAATGACCAACAGCAACAACATTCTATATTGAAGTAGTAATAATAGTAACACGAATATGAATACAACAAGGATATTGCTGTCTACAATTACTAAACGAGAACAGCATTTAAAACCACACGACATTTGAATAAGGTCGGAAGGACTATTCGACTGTAACAACTATTATGTTTGCGGGAATAATTTGACAGGTGGAAAAGATACGAAGGACATATTGCAGTGGCTAATAATGAACATAATATATATCTATCTATTAACTCTTAATTATATTATTTATAGTTTTTTATGCTGGTATTGTATTAATGAAATGGTTTGGAGAGAATTTATTACAGTGATTAATTAATGTTTTTATTACACATACAATTTCTGGTATGGAAACCCTTAACTGCATACAAATACTAACATATTCAAATATGTACATTTCCATTCAGGATAACATTCATTATCTTTTAATTTCCTCTACAATATAAGTTTTTATTTTTCAATTCCCTTCAATTTAGTTTTATACCTTTTTGTTGTGCTCAGTTGCCAGTTGAGTTTAATTTGATTATCGATCGATTTAATAAAACTAAACACGTAAAAATAACTGGCACCGATTAACAGATGACAGTGACGAGTTAAATTTACCTTTTCATTACTTTTTAAGATAAATATTTTTTTGACTGTTCTTTATATGTTTTACTACTAAAGTAAATTTTGAAAGTCCTTTTTTAAAATACAAATCAAATAACCTGACATTTAACTCTAACCTTTCCAAAAATATTTAAACTATGTATTACAACAATGAAAATTTACCAACTTAAAGATAAATTAAAAAAGAAATACTAACAAAAATCTAAAAACTAAACATAACAGATTATGTCATCTATTGCGTAAGGATACTTTTTATTATTTTTTACTATAAAACTTGTAATAATGACACATTTATAGAAAAGTTGTTATGACAAACAAAGAAACAAAAAAAAAAACGAAACGTAATAAAATGTTTGCAAACAAAAACAAATACTTTTCGAAGGACACTCAAAACAATTGATTAAAAAAAGCACAACCCACAACTATCGAAAACAAAATTGAGACAGACACCACGCAACATTATCAACAACATCTTAAAATTGCACTAACAATTGGTGGCCAAGTACGAGGACAAAATGTATTAAAAAAAACCAACAACTCAATGATACAAAATATTTGCACAAACAAAAACAAAATACATTATCACAGTCATACATACTCAAACCAAAAAGTGTGATAAACTATTACAAACGAGACAAGATGGCTTGCCAAAAAATATCACACACTCTCACAAACTAATATTCACATAAATAAATCAACAAGGATATGGTAGAAATAGAAGAAGAAAGAAAATGCTAAAATCACAACAACAACTAGACAATGCACACAAGTGTGAGTACCAAAAGTAATAAAGAAATTGAGATGGTAACATATTTGTTATGATAGTTTTTAGTTGTTGTTGTTGCTGTTCTAAACAACATTATATCACAGAAAAGAGAGAAGATACTAATAAGGAGACAAAATAAAACTGTTTTGCGAATATGTGTGTACAAATTACTGTTATTTTAGACAAGCAAAAAAGTGTAATTTACATATTACTTTGAAAAGAGCTTCTTAAAGAGAGAGAGCGATTCTAATTTAACAAATTACATATAAAAATATCAACCGAACCACATTTGAATTAAAACTGAACTAGAACTAAACTAGAGCTGAACTAAAGGTGAACTAATACTGCACTAGAACTAAACTAGAACTGAACTAGAACTGAACTAGAACTGAACTAGAACTGAACTAGAACTGAACTAGAACTGAACTAGAACTGAACTAGAACTGAACTAGAACTGAACTAGAACTGAACCAGAATTGAACTAGAACTGAACTAGAACTGAACTAGAACTGAACTAAAACTGAACTAGAACTGAACTAGAACTGAACTAGAACTGAACTAGAACTGAACTAGAACTAAACTAGAACTAAACTAGAACTGAACTAGAAGTGAACTAGAACTGAACTAGAACTGAACTAGAACTGAAGTAGAACTGAACTAGAACTGAACTAGAACTGAACTAGAACTGAACTAGAACTGAACCAGAATTGAACTAGAACTGAACTAGAACTGAACTAGAACTGAACTAAAACTGAACTAGAACTGAACTAGAACTGAACTAGAACTGAACTAGAACTGAACTAGAACTAAACTAGAACTAAACTAGAACTGAACTAGAAGTGAACTAGAACTGAACTAGAACTGACTAGAACTGAACTAGAACTGAACTAGAACTGAATTAGAACTGAACTAGAACTGAACTAGAACTGAACTAGAACTGAACTAGAACTGAATTAGAACTGAACTAGAACTGAACTAGAACTGAACTAGAACTGAACTAGAACTGAACTAGAACTGAACTAGAACTGAACTAGAACTGAACTAGAACTGAACTAGAACTGAACTAGAACTGAACTAGAACTGAACTAGAACTGAACTAGAACTGAACTAGAACTGAACTAGAACTGAACTAGAACTGAACTAGAACTGAACTAGAACTGAACTAGAACTGAACTAGAACTGAACTAGAACTGAACTAGAACTAGAACTGAACTAGAACTGAACTAGAACTGAACTAGAACTGAACTAGAACTGAACTAGAACTGAACTAGAACCGAACTAGAACTGAACTAGAACTGAACTAGAACTGAACTAGAACTGAACTAGAACTGAACTGGAATTGAACTAGAACTGAACTGATAATAAGCGAAGAAACATTAACATTTTTTTTTTGAGCATTTTCTCTTAGACGTATTTATTCTACCTAGTCGGGAAAAATTATATAACAAAGAAATGCAAACGACTTGTAAATCAGTTTAAAAATTGTAATCCGTAAATATTTGAATTCTCTTAAAAATAAGATTTAATAATAGTTTTTGTTTGCTAAATTTGAAAACAGAAAAAATCCAAAATTAGTTTGTCATATTACCTCGATGTAACGTACTACCCCCGCCTTATTTATTCATACCTTCTATAATTTGTTACTGTTATTTTAAGTCCTTTATTACAATAACAAAATAGAGTACTACTGAAACCATATGATTTTTGTTTTCATTTGGTAACACAAACAATGTGTTTTTTTTGTGTGTTGACATTTTATTGTCATTTACTTGTGATAACTTTGCAGATTCCCAAACAATTGCTCTCTGTCTGTTCTCTAGAGACAAATAGAGCCGCATATTTTTCTCTTTAAATGTCAAAAAGACAGACATGCGCTTTTTAAAAGCCGTCCGTTATATGTAAAAGCTTTTCTTAATTTACAGCATGTCATTATTGTCATGTCATTTTTAACGTATACTTTTGTTCTTTTTTTGTTTTCCTATATTTTTATCATTTCTAATAATCGAATTTTTTTCTAAGTGATGATAATGCTTTCCTTTGAAAAGGGTTTTATAAATCATAACAGGAAAAAACTTAAACTAACAAAATGGCTGAATTCATAAAGGGAAAATTAATTAAAATTCAAAGGAATTTTAAAGGACATATGAACTTTTTTTGAAATAAATAGGATCCCTTTCTAAATACTTGCTTTAAATATTTATTTACACACTTACTTAGATTTCATTATATAATAACTTAAAAAAATAACAAACATTTTTGGCTCCAGAACTACTGATAATTATAAATAGTTTTTAGTAGTCAACTGCAACACATCCTTTCTACTATCACATTAAACTACTGCTACTACTACTACTGGGGCAGCACCTTCGTAAAAGGGACCCCATCTTCATCATCGTAATGTATGTATATTTTATTTGGTTTTTTAATTTTACACCCCCACATTTAATATATAGAAAATGGAAAATGTTACCAAATCACCTTATACCTAAAGGGAGCTATGAAAAATATTGTAACACACACTTGAACGAAAAGAAAATTTTACCTTTTCCATTTGCAATAAAAATTATGTAAAATATTTCTTGAGTAACCTTTAAAATTCAGCCATATTTTTTAAACGTCTTTATTTTATTTTTAAATTTTTAATATTATTTAGTAATTTTTACACTTTTCACAGTATCTTTTTTTCTTCCATAAATTTTACACAATTTTTTTCTACTTTTTTTACTACAAGCTTTATTTTATAGGGATTTTTTTATTAATTTATATATATTTTTTATAATTTAATTTAATTTTAATAAGAATTTTGTTTAAAGTGATCTTTTAAGCACATTTGCATTTTGCATTAAACTTGCTGTTTTCATAAAAACAGCAAATAATTTTATATTATTTTTATGAAAATTTATTAATATATTTTCATAAAATTTACGCGCTGCCATTTCTTGCTAAAGACGTCTTTAACGATGACTGAATTTTTCTGTACTGATTGAAAATTTTTCTTTAGTGAATCTAATAGCAGCATAACCTGGTCAAACCTTTTGGAGGAGGAATTCTTTGCAGATGTTTTTCTATAACAAAAATTATAAGGATATAAAGCTTTATTACTAGGATAATAAAGTTTGATAGAGCTTTTATGAGTTTGATGTCAACAGCTTTTGAACGTTACTTTTTTGGAAAGTAAAACTGGTAAAGAATTGAACTAAATTTAAACTTAACTAGGACAAGAACTGAATTAGAACTGAACTAGAACTGAACTAATACTGAACTAGAACTGAACTAGAACTGAACTAGAACTGAACTAGAACTGAACTAGAACTGAACTAGAACTGACTAGAACTGAACTAGAACTGAACTAGAACTGAACTAGAACTGAACTGAACTAGAACTGAACTAGAACTGAACTAGAACTGAACTAGAACTGAACTAAGAACTGAACTAGAACTGAACTAGAACTGAACTAGAACTGAACTAGAACTGAACTAGAACTGAACTAGAACTGACTAGAACTGAACTAGAACTGAACTAGAACTGAACTAGAACTAAACTAGAACTGAACTAGAACTGAACTATAACTGAACTAGAACTGAACTAGAACTGAACTAGAACTGAACTAGAACTGAACTAGAACTGAACTAGAACTGACTAGAACTGAAACTAGAACTGAACTAGAACTGAACTAAACTGAACTAGAACTGAACTAGAACTGAACTAGAACTGAACTAGAACTGAACTAGAACTGAACTAGAACTAACTAGAACTGAACTAGAACTGAACTAGAACTGAACTAGAACTGAACTAGAACTGAACTAGAACTGAACTAGAACTGAACTAGAACTGACTAGAACTGACACTAGAACTGAACTAGAACTGAACTAGAACTGAACTAGAACTGAACTAGAACTGAACTAGACTGAACTAGAACTGAACTAGACTGAACTAACTGAACTGAACTAGAACGGACTAGAACTGAAATGAACTGAACCAGAACTGAACTAGAACTGACCTAGAAATGAACTAGAACTAGAAACTGAACTAGAAACGGAACTAGAAATGAACTAGAACTGAACTAGAACTGAACCAGAACTGAACTAGAACTGAACTATAACTGAACTAGTAACTAAGAACTAGAACTAGAACTGAACTAGAACTGAACTAGAACTGAACTAGAACTGAACTAGAACTGAACTGAACTATAACTAAGAACTGAAACTAGAACTGAACTAGAACTGAACTAGAACTGAACTAGAACTGAACTAGAACTAAACATAAACTGAACTAAACTAAACTTGAGTCAAACTAAAAGTATATCTAATGCCATTAAAGTTCTATTTCAGGTTCTAGTTAAATGTTAGTGTCAGCTGCTAAGTTATTTCAAGTTCATTCTATGTACTAGTTCAGTTAAGGTGAAAGTAACAAACACCACGCGTTGTACACGGCAACGCGTTATAGACTTCTGCCAAAAAAAGTTGAAATAGTGTATTATTTTTATTACACATTGTAGTTTGTAATAGGGTTCTATATATCGACTTTCGAATAATCGAACAATCGACTTTTTGTCGAAAAAAGTCGAAAAGTCGAAGTCGACTATTTTGTTCCAAAAAAGTCGATAACTCGACCATGGTCTGTGAAAAAGTCGAAAAGTCGACTTTGTTAATAAAACTCGAAAAAAGTCGAAAAGTCTGAGAGTCGAAAAAAATCGATAAATCGAAAAAAATCGATAAATCGAAAAAAATCGATAAGTCGAATAAAGTCGAAGAAAGTCGAAAAAAGTCGTAAAAAGTCGAAAAGTAGGAAAAAGTCGAAAAGTCGGAAAAAGTCGAAAACTCGAAAATTGTAGAAACAAGTCAAAAATAGTCGAAAATCTTAAAAAAAGTGAAAAAAAATTCAAAATCTCTTAAATAGTCGGAAAAACTCTAAAAAAGTAAAAAAAAAGTCGAAAATAGTCAAAAAGTCGAAAAAATCGAAAAATCGGAAAAAGTCGAAAAAAGTCGAAAAAATTCGAAAAGTCGAAAAAAGTCGAAAAGTCGACTATTTATAAAATACTTATAGTTGAAAAGTCTAAAAGTCGACTTTTAATTAAATGAAAAAAGTCGAAAAAATCGACTTTTCATAAAATGCAAAAAGTCGAGAAGTCGAAAAGTCGACTTTTAACTAAATGAAAAATGTCGAAAAGTCGACTTTTCGTTTCAACTATAGAACCCTAGTTTGTAACGCGTCTGCCGCGAAAAGTTCAGCAACTTTCAACTTTGTAAGCGCCGACAGTTGATCATGGTTGTATTTTGTTTTGTTTTGTGTAGAAACTAAAATGAAATAAATTTCTCCAACAATGAAAGAAAAATATTAAAAAATAGACAATAACTTAAAATTTTGATTTTTTTAAACAGTAATAGTCTTAAAAAACATTAAAAGAAAGATCAAAATGAAGCGTGGTGTGTAACTTGCCGCTTATAAAGCGCGAAAAGTTTTAAAAGCGTGGTGTGTTCTTCCACCTTAACTGAACTAGTAATAGAATTGAACTTGAACTAAACTAGAGCTGAACTAAAATTTAACTAGAACTGAAGTAGAACATTAATGGTATTAGATATTACTTTTTTAAGAAAAACATCCTTATAATCACAAATTTACTTAAACCTAAATATACGCCTTCAAGTAGAACACTTTAAAAAAATTAACGAATTATTTCCGATCTCTGGAAACCTCTAAAAATCACTCAACTACATAATATGTTTTAAAATTATTTGGTGACTCTACACAAAATTTGTGTCTTTGTTGCTGCTACAATGATGATTAACAGTATTTCAGATCTATTTTTAACGATACTTTAATCAAATATTTTTGTTTATTGATCGTTTAGATACATTTTGTTATTCAATAATTCATATGTGATAATATAAACAAAAAACAAGCTATTTACAACAACCCTGAGTTTTTTAATAATTTTTAATAACAAAAACAAATTTTAAAACATTGATTGCATTCAGTGACAAAAAGACAGACGTGAGATACCGTTATCTGTTATAATTTTATTAAGGAGAGTGTGAGAAGATAATGATCAAGGCGAATTCATATACATAGATTCGCCTTAATAATAATGTTTGTAAAAGCAGTTGTTAAATATTAAATTGTAATAAACAACAAATAAATTAAAATAAAAAAAAATAGAAAAAAAAACTGAAAAAATAAATAAAAAGAGGAAAATTACTAACCTATCGCCTTCTTGTACCAGATTAATCAGTAGTGCGTTGTGCTATAACAATTACATTTGATGGAAACAAATGCTGTTGCATTTCAATATAGTGTTTTGAAATAAAATAGAAAAATTATTAAAAATAAGATTCATTAAGTTGTCACTATATGTTTATATGTAGTTTGTTTTGATCTTCACGAAAATAAAATAAAAACAAAGAAAAAACAATTATGGATGGCATGGCCTCAGTACTATTTGTCGTCACAATACCGACAGCCATTGAAGAGGAACGTCTGAAACGTGAGTTTCTGGCGAAAAAATATGATTTATTAAAATCAGAACAAGCGGATAGTACACCGACTACGGCCGGCACATTCCCGCTAAAAACAACGGACAGTAGTAGAACAGCAACAACGATCAATTCAAATATTACACCAACAACTACAACAACAGGACTATATCAAAATAAAAATGAAGGTCAAATTATCAATGACAATGCAGAGACAATTAGCACAACCACTATAGGTGTACCCTCGATCTCAGCTAGTGCCGATGCTGGAGCCAGTGATGAAATATCAGCTGGTGCACAAATGGGCCCTATACAATATGGCACATTTCCCAAACGTAGAAAATCTAGTCAGAAATCCAATATATTGGAAGATCTTGCAGATGCCATGAAATCACAGCAATTTGCCGCTACTCGCACCAGCAGTCTAAAAGATATCGATGCAAATTCAACGGTTAGTTTTGTTTTTCTAAATAATATTAATTTTAATTACACATTTTGTTAATGTTATAGGATGGCTTGCCGGATACACGTAAGTCTTGGGAAGGTATTAGAGACATTTTATCTTCAACTAAACGTAAAAATCTAAAAAAGAAAGACCAATATATTGATTTGGAATTATCGAAAGATATTTGTATGGAAACTGTACTTAAAGAAATTTTAAAAAAATTTCATATTCAAAGTGCCACCTGGGCAAAAGATGCTGAAGGCCGTATGTATCAGGTAAGTGAGGATATTTATAGAAGTAGATATTAAGGATAAGTAGATAAATAGACTAGATATAAACAGATAGATAGATAGATAGATAGATAGATAGATAGATAGATAGATAGATAGATAGATAGATAGATAGATCTAGATAGATAGATAGATAGATAGATAGATAGATAGATAGATAGATAGATAGATAGATAGATAGATAGATAGATAGATAGATAGATAGATAGATAGATAGATAGATAGATAGATAGATAGATAGATAGATAGATAGATAGATAGATAGATAGATAGATAGATAGATAGATAGATGATAGATAGATAGATAGATCGATAGATAGATAGATAGATAGATAGATAGATAGATAGATAGATAGATAGATAGATAGATAGATAGATAGATAGATAGATAGATAGATAGATAGATAGATAGATAGATAGATAGATAGATAGATAGATAGATAGATAGATAGATAGATAGATAGATAGATAGATAGATCGATAGATAGATAGATAGATAGATAGATAGATAATATAGATAGATAGATAGATAGATAGATAGATAGATAGATAGATAGATAGATTAGATAGATAGATAGATAGATAGATAGATAGATAGATAGATAGATAGATAGATAGATAGATAGATAGATAGATAGATAGATAGATAGATAGATAGATAGATAGATAGATAGATAGATAGATAGATAGATAGATAGATAGATAGATAGATAGATAGTAGCTAGATAGATAGCTAGATAGATAGATAGATAGATAGATAGATAGATAGATAGATAGATAGATAGATAGATAGATAGATAGATAGATAGATAGATAGATAGATAGATAGATAGATAGATAGATAGATAGATAGATAGATAGATAGATAGATAGATAGATAGATAGATAGATACATAGATAGATAGATACATAGATAGATAGATACATAGATAGATAGATAGATAGATAGATAGATAGATAGATAGATAGATAGATAGATAGATAGATAAAGGCTCTCTGCTTCTATTTTATTTCTAGATTTTCTTCACCGTTGAATTTAATGAAACCTATGAAAAAATATTGGATAATTTAAATGAATGGGGTATTGGAGATCGTGAAGGATCCACAGTGTCGGTAATGAATTGTTTAACCTCAAAAACTTATTCACAAAAAGTTGATAACGATGTGGAAAATGACTTTAGCACGGAGTAAGTCTAAATCAAATAATCTTAAGAAATGATTTAAATTTAATTATTTTTTTTAGAAATAATTTAGAACAAAAACAAAGCGCCTGGGAGCGTTTTATGAATTCGGTGCGCAGTCGTTTAAATGTAGCAAATATTATACGTGATGTAAGACAAGATGCTTCTATAACTTTTGATTTTGTAGTGCTGGTGGTATCGGCAGCGTAAGTCTGTTTTCCATTTAGAAAAAGTTATTCCTCTTAAGATATTTATTTTTAGAATTTTAGCTTCCTTTGGTTTGGTAGAGGATAGTACCATATTTTTAGCCTCTAGTATGCTGATTTCACCTTTAATGGGTCCCATTATAGCGGCCATTTTTGGCACTGTCATCAAAGATCATTCTTTGCGCAGTTTGGGCTTAAGGAATGAGTTGTATGGCATATTAATGGCAGTAATAGTAGGTTTCCTCTTTGGCATGGTGGTTTGTACTACCGATGATCGCTATAGCATTGGTGACGGCCTCACAGATGAAATGATTGCACGCTGTGAATTACACTCGCTTATAGTGGGTGTATTTACCGCCATTCCCTCGGGTGCGGCAGCTGCTATTGGCATACTGGGCGGTAATATAGGTTCTTTGGTGGGTGTGGCTATTTCAGCCTCCCTATTGCCACCTGCTGTTAATTCGGTTAGTTGTACTTTACATTGATTTATTTATTTGCTTACGCTTTCATCAATAATTTCAGGGTCTTCTTTGGGCTTTGGCTTTAATTTATAAATTTTTCGAAAAAGATGAATCACGCTATAGTAATGTGGTAAAAAATACTCTCTATTCGAATAATCAAGCTACCGAATTGGCTATTTTGGGCACAATAAGCATGTGTTTAACCATTTCCAATATTATATGCATTTATATTATGGGCATATTAGTGTTAAAGGTTAAAGAAATTGCTCCCGTGATATCGCGTAATAATCGTGAATTTTGGAAACATGATATTAAAATTGCCCGAGTACTTAATCGTAATGGCTTCGATACGGATACTGCCATAATTGATGAATTCGCCAACTTACCGAAGGAGGATCAGAAAGCTTTGGGTATTAGCTGTGATTTTCTGCGTAATCTACATATGGATGAAGCCGTCTACCAACACACTTGGTCCCCGGTGGGTGGTAGACATCCATTTGAACTTACCTATGATCCGATTAGAGATAATTATTCTACTGTTCATCGCATAGAGAGGCTATACTCGACTATAACGCAACAGCATTCTATGAAGGAGAAAAGGTAAGGTGTAAGGATGATCTAAAAAAAAATTCTAACTTTTTAATATCTTTTTAAAGGCACAAATTTGGTTTGGGTCGCCGTCCTACCGGTCGTTTAACGGATTTTGGTACTAGCTACAAAATTCTTAGTGAAAATGTAAGAAAATGGACTGGAACTGAAGTAGATCTGAACTAGAACTGAACTGGAACTGAGCTAGAACTAAACTAGAACTGAACTAGATCTGAACTAGAACTGTACTACAACTGAACTAGAACTGAACTAGAACTGATCTAGAACTGAACTAGAACTGAACTAGAACTGAACTAGAACTGAACTAGAACGGAACTAGAACTGAACTAGAACTGAACTACAACCGAACCAGAACTGAACTAGAACTGAACTAAAATTGAACTAGAACTGAATTAAAACTGAACTAGAACTGAACTAGAACTGAACTAGAACTGAACTAGAACTGAACTTGAACTGAACTAGAACTCAACTAGAACTGAACTAGAACTGAACTAGAACTGAACTAGAACTGAACTAGAACTGAACTAGAACTGAACTAGAACTGAACTAGAACTGAACTAGAACTGAACTAGAACTGAACTAGAACTGAACTAGAACTGAACTAGAACTGAACTGAACTAGAACTGAACTAGAACTGAACTAGAACTGAACTAGAACTGAACTAGAACTGAACAAGAACTGAACTAGAACTGAACTAGAACTGAACTAGAAACTGAACTAGAACTGAACAAGAACTGAACTAGAACTGAACTAGAACTGAACTAGAACCGAACTAGAACCGAACTAGAACTGAACTAGAACCGTAACTAGAACTGAACTAGAACCGAACTAGAACTGAACTAGAACCGAACTAGAACTGAACTAGAACTGAACTAGAACTGAACTAGAACCGAACTAGAACTGAACTAGAACTGAACTAGAACTGAACTAGGGCTGAACTAGAGCTGAACTAGAACTGAACTAGAACCGAACTAGAACTGAACTAGAACCGAACTAGAACTGAACTAGAACTGAACTAGAACTGAACTAGAACTGAACTAGAACTGAACTAGAACTGAACTAGAACTGAACTAGAACTGAACTAGAACTGAACTAGAACTGAACTAGAACTGAACTAGAACTGAACTAGAACTGAACTAGAACTGAACTAGAACTGAACTAGAACTGAACTAGAACTGAACTAGAACTGAACTAGAACTAGAACTGAACTAGAACTGAACTAGAACTGAACTAGAACTGTACTAGAACTGAACTAGAACTGAACTAGAACTGAACTAGAACTGAATTAGAATTGAACTAGAACTGAACTAGAACCGAACTAGAACTGAACTAGAACTGAACTAGAACTGAACTAGAACTGAACTAGAAATGAACTAGAACTGAACTAGAACCGAACTAGAACTGAACTAGAACTGAACTAGAACTGAACTAGAACTGAACTAGAACCGAACTAGAACTGAACTAGAACCGAACTAGAACTGAACTAGAAGAATATCCGAACATTAAATTTTTATTTGTTTCTTATTTTCTTAAACTCTTTAGCTGCCACGTTGTTCCACGATGCCCACTAAAGTCGCCTGCCCCACCATAAATATAATAAATGCCGATGCAACCATAACAGCCGGATCATTGGCTAGTGATTCAAAAGGTACATCTGCCACAAATACACCCACTGGTATGATCGATGCCAGTAAAAGGCGAAAATTTATTGTTACACCAGCCCAAGAGGATCCTTTACAATATACGTATGTCCCCTCGGAAGATACTGATGCTTAATGGTTTTCCTTTAAATATAAATTATTGTATTTTCTTTTAATATATATATTTTTTTTCATTGTATAATTTATATTGTTATACTAATTGGTCAGGTTTATGTTGTAATTTCAGATTTTGTCATTCTTTAAAAGGCTGTTTAGTTTTATATGCAGCCTTGCTTGTATTTCCATTTTGTTTAGTTCAATTTTGTCCTTTTTTGTAAATGTTTGATAAGGATTTTTTGGCCTTTAACTTAATAAACAATAATGTTTTCGTAATAATTGTTTTTTGATAGTTTTAATTAACTGGTTATTTGTTGTTTTTAACGTTAACACATATGTATAATTTGTAGTTTACTTGACTATAAAAGGTAGGTATTAAAAATCAACTCCTGAGGGTCCTTGACGATCAGCTTTGACTTGTGAACGTTGACGTTTAACAAATAAACGTTCTCGGGCTGCTTTTTCTTGTCTAAAAAGAGAGGAATTAAATTTGGCTTTGAGTTAAAGCTGAGCTAGAAGTTTAGAACTAAACAGAAGTAAAACTAATCTAGAACTTAACTAAAATTGAAATAAACCTATACTAGGACTGGAGTAGAATTGAACTAGAACTAAACTAGAACTGAACTAGAACTTAACTAGAACTGAACTAGAACTGAACTAGAACTGAACTATAACTGAACTAGAATTGAACTAAAACTAACTGGAACTGAACTAAACCTAACTAGAACTGAACCAAAACTTAAATAGAACTGAACTGGAATAGAATTAGAACTGAACTAGAACTAAAACTTTCTCACTCCTGGTTGCATTCATATTGAAAAAATATAAGTTTACCTTTTTCTTATTTTCTCTAGAGTTTCTTCGGAAGTAGGAGCAGCCTCGTACTCATGGTCCCTTATGATATTTCTCAATTTTTCTAAAGCATCTGCTAAATTCATTTGTTGGGAACGAGTTAAATCACTTTTGATAACATAGTAACCTTCTTTGGTGATTTTATTTTCCAACTACAAAAAAAATACAAAACAAATGAAAGAATCTAAAAATTTGTTCCCAAAGTAATAAACTTACAGAAGCCAATAATTTTGCTCTAGTTTTCTCCGGTATCCAATCTGCTTCGCTTAATTTAAAGCGAACATCTACTTTGGTGTTGACGGTATTCACATGTTGGCCCCCAGGTCCTGAACTGCGACTGTAGGTGATTTCCAATTTATTTATGGGTATGAAGCCAGAAAATTTATCATCTTTGTTGGCAGGCTATATAAAATAAATTGATAATTATAGTTCCTTAACAAAAATAATGGTTAGCTTTACCGGTGGAGGTGTGTAGAGTTGTAGCCGACTATTGGGGTAAATCTTGTCCAACGATAAATCACTTTTGAATGACAAGTTTCTTCCTAGTACGGCAGCTGATGTATAGGTTTTTTCCAAGTTCGAGTGACTTAGCACCGAAATAAAACTTCTGCAGATCTTATTCATTTCAGAAATTAAGAAAATTTCGGAAAATTTTATAATTTAAAAGAAAAAACGTTCTTGTATGTTTTCGTAACACCAGTATAGACGAACAGCTGTTTTTCCATGTTGCCAGCTTATTTGCTTAAGAGTTGCCAATCGAACGATTGAATTTAGTTATAGTTTGAGAATCACACCATATATTTATTTTCATTATGGTTTGGAAGTCACTGCTTTTCATAATAAATATAACAAAAACAGTGTGGTTAATAGTTTTGCTTCTTAAAAATAGTAAAAACAGCTAAATTATCATTACTTAACAGCTGTTACAAAAAACGTGGAATTCGATTTGTTTTGTTGAGTTTTCTTTATTTATATTTTTTAGAAAATTATTTGTTTATTTTGACAAAAAATGGAAGTTGACCATGAGGAATCCAAGGTAACAGAAATATTTTCCATTTTACATACAAACTAACCTGTTTCCATTCTCCAGATCTCCATTAAAAATCCCATACACAAAATAATACGTGAACGTTCTGCAGAAATTGTTTCAGGAGGCAATGTTTTCTATAATCCTGTACAAGAATTTAATCGCGATTTAAGTATTTCTGTGTTAAACGTGTTCTTTAAACGCTTGCTTAAAGAAAGGCAGCAGAAACTTTTAAAGAAAAGTAAAAAGGATACAAATGGTAATGCCGCTGATGAAACTGACAAATGTGAAAAGGAATATAAAGCTGGTACTAAATATGAAGATGGTTTGAGAATATTGGAAGCTTTGTCAGCTACTGGCTTACGTAGTATACGTTATGCCAAGGAAATTGCTGGTGTCAAAGAAATTATAGCCAATGATTTGTCCAAACAGGCGGTAGAGGCCATTAGGGAGAATATTAAACATAACCAGGTGGAACATTTAATTGAACCCAGTCATGCAGATGCCATGTAAGTATTGATTCTTTTTTTCTATAAGTTTCAGAGCTTGAATAACTGATTATTTCCGTAGGACTCTTATGTATTTGTCTACATCAAATGGCAAACAATTCGATTGCATTGATTTAGATCCCTATGGCTGCCCAAACCGTTTCCTTGATGGTGCCATACAGTCATTAGTGGATGGTGGTTTGCTGCTGGTTACAGCTACCGATATGGCCGTTTTGGCCGGCAATGCTCCAGAGGCCTGTTACGTTAAATACGGTTCGGTACCTTTACGCATGAAATCCTGCCACGAAATGGCTTTACGTATTTTGTTACATTGCATTGAAACTCATGCCAATCGTTATGGCAAATATATCGTTCCTTTACTAAGTATTTCGGCTGATTTTTATGTTCGTATCTTTGTACGTGTCTTTAGTAGTCAAGCAATGTGCAAATTTAGCATGAGTAAACAATCGATGATTTATCAATGTTGTGGCTGTGACACATATACTCTTTATCCTTTGGGCACTATTAAACCCAATCCTACAGCTTCAAATCCCAATCAAGTGAAATTTGGTATACCCACCGGACCGCCAGTGGGCATGAGCTGTGAACATTGTGGTCAGAAACACCATGTAAGTAATGAAGCATATAACTAAAACTGAATTGGAACTGAACTAAAACTAGTCCAGAACATTTTCAAAAGAATGTAAATAAAATACATAATTTACATATTTTTCTTTCAGTTGGGTGGTCCCATTTGGTCAGATCCCATACACGATAAAACGTTCGTACAAGAATTGCTAGATGCAATCGATGTGGAGCCCTTATCGGAATTGGGTACACAAAGACGTTTAATCGGTATGTTAACGGTGGTGCAGGAAGAATTGGACGAAGTACCACTCTACTATACATTGGACAAATTATGTTGTGTTTTAAAATTGGAAATTGTGCCTATATTGAAGTTCCGTTCGGCTTTACTAAATGCCGGCTATAAAGTGTCATTCTCTCACGCCTATAAAAATTCCATTAAAACAAATGCACCTGCTTCAGTGTTATGGGATATTTTAAGATGTTGGAATAAACGTCATCCCGTTAAGGAGGAGCGCATGATTGATGGCACACCCATTAAGGCAATTTTAAGTAAAGCCTGTACACAAGAATATAATTTTGATACAATACATCCTGAAGCAAATCCTAAAAGTAGAAAACAAGCTTTATCCAGATTTCAAGCAAATCCAACAGCACACTGGGGTCCAGGCACCAGAGCAACTATAATGTAAGTTTGATTTTGTTTTTAAATATTTCTAAAATATAAATTTTGTTCTTTCATTTTGTAGGGTGGGAGAAGATAAAGTGGCCAAAAGTTTTCGCAATCAAAATAAGAAACAAAAACATAAAGCCACTGACTCAGAAGAGGTTAATTTAAATGATGATGAGAACAAGGAAGTTCAGAAAACTAAACAACCTAAATTAGAAGAGGCCGATAAAAGTTGATTTAAGTTAAACAATGTTTTATTTTATTAAACAATTTACAAAGATTTTTATTTTGTAAAAATTATAAAAAGAAAATTTTAATATTTATATTTAATAGCGGAAAAAGTTACCATCGGCTGGTTGACGCGAATAGCCATTGTTGACCAGTTGGGTATGAGGACCACTATTTATTAATTTAACACTATGAGGAGACAATTTTTCCTTGAGACCACCTTTAAAAGGATATTTATAAAAACTTAATTTTGTTTATTAGCAAGTTAAAACTCTACTTACCTATCTTCAAAGGATGCCCAATCAATTCCGGTTTCTCCAGGGGTATATCACGGGTATTTCTTAAAACCCGAAATGTTTGCGGTAATCTCTGGCAAGTCTCCACTTGCAAAACAAAATCTACCTTTTCGGGAAAATAATCACGCGAATGTACATAACGTGATTGCAATTGAAAATCTAGCGAATCTTTTGGTATTTTTGCACAGGCCATAAACCGCTTGCAACCTCTAACAGAGGCCAAGGTTTGATGATAGTAAAGACGTTCATGAGGCTTCAAATTTGCATGCCAACATTTGTTGGATTCAATATTATTAGGTTTTGGCATGGGACATATAAGACGTCCCTCCCTTTCCAAATAAGGCGCATAGGAATGATTACGTACTCTTAACATTCTTTAGCGTTAGTTAATGGAAACAAAAATGGGTTTTTCTTATAAATTGGACAGATTATAAACTAAATTGAAAGAGAAAATTTGTATATTTGAATCAATTTGTTGTTTGACAGTAGTAAATAACTGTAATGTTGCTAGGGAAATGGAAAATGTTTATACATGTTATCGATATTGATTAGAGTTTATAATCACCCCTATTCTGCACTTCAATTTAAATCGAAATTTTCTCCATTTGTCATCTTTGTAATTTCCATAATTTTCACGACGTTAAAGAATTTTCGCATATTTTTAGTTTTATCAAGAATTTCACTAAAAAAAGATAAAATTTTCACCGAAAACCTAAATTTCTATTACAAATCCGAATTCTTAAAAAAGTGTCGCATTAGAAAGTGAAATTTTCACCAATTTTTTTCACTTAACATTAAATCTATCGCTTAAATTTCTCTAAAGATCGGTAATTCTCTAGAAAAGGATGTTTTCACTAAAATTCGAATTTTTAACTTTAAACTCGATATTTTCACGGATAACCTAAATTAATTTTGTGAAACCAAAAATATTAAAATATCGTTAATTACGTTAAAAATATATATTTCTTTACGCTAAAAATCGATATTTTCACTAAAAATCTATAACTTCACTAAAAATCTAAGTTATCATTAAAAATCCAAAATCATACTAAAATGTCCCATTAGAAAGTGAAATATTCACCAAAATTTTTTTTCACTTAACATTAAATCTATGACATAAAATCTAAATTATTTTCACTAAAGATAAGTAATTCACTAGAAATGGATGTTTTCACTGAATTTCGAAATTTTAACTTAAAACTTGATATTTTCACGGAAAACCTAAATTTTTACTAAAAATCTATAATTTCACTAACAATCTATATTTTTAAGGAATATCTTTAACTAAGACAAAAATCGATATTTTTACGGAAACATGTCAATTTCGCTAAAAAAACGATATTTTCACTAAAAATCGACAATTTCACTAAAGAAGCTAAATTTTCACTAAAAATCAGATTTTTCACAAAAAAATTTTATTTTCACTAAAAATTTATATTTTTACGGAATATCTTTAATAAATAATATTTTCACTAAAAATCTAAAATTTCACTAAAAATTTATATTTTCATTTCGCTAAATATCTAAATTTTTTACGAAATATATTTTACTACGCTAAAAACTGATATTTTCACTAAATATTTATAATTTCTCTAAAAATGTATATTTTCGTTAAAAATCTATATTTTCACTTATAATCGATATTTTCCTTGAAAATCTAACTTTCACCAAATATCTAAATTTTCACTTAAAATCCAACTTTTTATTCGAAAAATTTTCAATGAAAATGACCGATTATTCACATGGATATTTCCATAAAGAATCAAAATTTTTATTAAAAATCGTGTTTTCACTGAAAATTCATATTTTCACTAAAAATCGATAATTTTGCTAAAAATCTATATTTGTACCTAAAATCGTAAATTACGTTAAAAATCTATTATTTTATAGAAAATCGATAATTTCCCATATAAATCGATATTTTCATTAAAAGTCGATAATTTCACTAAAAATCGATAGTTTCACGAAAAATATATATTTTCTTAAAAAATTTACATTTTCACTAATCGATAATTTCCGAGAAAATCAAATATTTACAGAAAATTAAAATTTCCCATTAAAGTCAAATCTATCACAGAAAATCGTTATTTCCTATTAAAAACTGATCGTCGGTTTTTTTATGAAAATCGTAAATTTTCGCTGAAACTCGATAAATTCAAATTTGATATTTTTCACAAAGAATTGTATTTGGCCTCAACTTTCTTAATATTTCTTTTCTGAGGCTATTTAAAGACAATATTATATTATCCTTTCTTTTAAATGTAATTAAATAAAAACAACAAAATTTGTTTATTACGTTTTAAAAAAAATTTATTTTATTTTTTTTTAGTTAAAAATAGAAAATAAGTATAATTTTAAGAATAATGATAACCTGAAAAAAATGTTATTAGTAAAATAAAATTCCATAAGTACTTACATGTTTCCCAGAACTTTCCCAGTAGCCCCCAAAAGTTGCAAAATAAACGACCAGCTTAAACGTAGCAGTAGAAGTTGTAGTCCTGATTGCCACATAAACCTGTGCTATATTAATTTTTTTTTTTTTTTTTGTGATAAAAAAAACAAAACGATCGAAAACGAACAGCTACTAAACACCAACCAACCGATCATACATATACTGCAAACAAGGAGGTGCTCTCATATATATTTTCTTTCCTAAGGTCTCGTTGTAGAAGAGGATACACTATGAAATACTTTTAGAAAACTGGAAACCTGCTTTTATCTGTTATAGTGAATGATGAAATCACCGCAAACTCTAGCTAAGATTAAACATACACAACTCCCACGAACCAAGAACCACCATATATCATATATCAGCAACACCACTAGATCTGTGTTGTGCACATGTGAGAAGTACGATGAAACGCACGAAAGGTTTTATTTTACACAGCACAGCGCTCTATCACGCACGCAACAGGATGTATGAGAAAAATAACTGGGGACGGCATGTGTTCTGTTACAAAAACAAAGACGAATGTGAAATGTGTGCTGCTTATGCTTTCGATTAAACTACAATAATACACCGAGCGAGTACTGCTGACTGACTACTTCTGCGCCGTATGCTGCTTGCTTTGTTTTTTGGTTCTTGGTTGGACAAGTTCTACAAATTTTTTTTTGATTACGTTAGTTTGTTAAAGAAGTGTTAATAAAAATCACCTTTTTGATGCAGTGGAAAACAAAAAGGCTGAAGAGGGATGGGTGGTAGTAGTAGTAGTAGTACATAGAGACTAGTTACAGCAGACAACATAATCAATCAGCAACCGCTTCAGAAGAGTTATTCTATCTAACAGCTTTTAGATTATGTTATGCAAAAGTAGCAACAACAGCAGTCACAGCAGCAGCAGCTACACAGCAACAATAAAACCGTTTACGCAGCTTGAATTAATATGGTGCTTACACGAGTTTTTTTGTAAGCAGCACGCGCTCTTTACACAGCTTACTCCCTCTCTCTCTCTCTCTTTCACACACTCTTTCTCTGCACTTCATCAATTACATTTTTAATAATGACTATTTTTTTATACTGGTTAAATTTTTTGTTTTTTACACTTTTCAGCCTGCCTGACATGACTGCCTTTCTGCTTAAATTAACCAGCCAACAAACCGCTTTAAATGCCTGCATTATATAAAATGGTTTATGATTATTATAATTGTTTTTTGTGTGTTGTTTTTTTTAGAAATAATAGCAGCAAATTAAAAAAATAGAGTTGTAGTAAAAGGAGAACAAAAAATAGGGGCTTTAAAGTTTTTCTTTAACATGGATTTCCTGTAATAAACTTGATAATATTTTGTCAGATTTAAGCTATTAAGTTTTCTTTTCTATCGAAATACAAAGTAAATCCCCCCCTAGCATGTTCCTAATCCGTCTCTTCCTAAGCCTTTTTTTAAGTTCAGCACATTTTTGTATCAAAATTTTTAAGCAAATACTAAGTTTTGTTTGTATTTTTTACGTTTTTTTTTTTATTAATTACATTTGAAGGGAGTTTTGGTAGGCTCTAAAATGTCTACTAAATATGTATTATTTTAAACAAATGCAATTGCAAACATACGATTACAATTGTGTTATTTAAGATATTTATGTGTGTGTGTGTATACAGAGATTAATACCAATAGAATGTATGAATTTATTTAGTTATTTAATTAATATATTTCTTCTTTTTTCAATGGTGGCAATTATTACTTTGTTTGGTTTTCTTTTTTTTTGTTTTTTGAGACACTATTTTTATGTGATAAAAAAGATAATCAATTTCACCTTTTCCTGGTGAATTTTCGTTATAATTTTGATATTCTAAATTATAAAGAATATATGATTAAAAGAAAGCTGACGACTTACAAATTAAAGAATGTAATATAATGGGGAAATGTTTAAATATAATTTAAACATTTTTTATACAGCTTTTTGTTGTTGTTGTTGTTTGTAAAACAAAAACAAATGGATTTTGTTTTTGATTTCCAAAAAAAAAAAAAATGTGTGTTGACGTAGTAAATTAAAAGTAAAATGTTTAAAAATTAAAGGATTATTAATTATATACCTGCTGATAAGACACAGCAACGTATTGTTAAAAATAAGTGTAAAATACATGTCCCCAAGAAGCCATTTTCCATAACGGTTTGAATAGAGACCTATATGTGGAAATGTTAAGAAAAGACAAGGACAAAACTTAACTAAAAGATCTAATAACAAATAACTAACAATAATAATAATTTACCTTTTTATTTTTGCACATCTAAGTAATAAAACCTTTTTCTTGTTTTAGTTGTTGAGAAAAAAAGGTTTTATTATTTAAGATCTACTACGACTACGGGAGACACTGCGTCCTCTGTCGGCACCACCGCCACCACTACTGCCTATAGCGCCCAAACCATTTCGGCTGCCACTGCGGCTAAGGGAACGTCTTACGGGACTGCGTGAAAATTTATTACGTCTCACGGGTGAACGACTCTGTGGAGAACGTGAACGTGAATATGAACGACGACGTGGACTGCGAGAACGACGACGAATGGGAGAACGTGAACGACGACGGCCACCACCTCCACGGCGATTATTATTACGTCTGTTGTTTGATGGTGAAGTGGGTCGGCCATAACGTGCCATTTGTACACGCAACTCCCTACCGTCTAATTTGCGTCCATCCATAGCTTCAAGAGCTTCTTCGGCATCACGTTTGTCATAGAATCTAGAAGTAAATAAAGAGAGGAATTTATTTATTAATTGTTGTAAGGAAATATTTAAAGTTATGTTATATTTGTAATATAATATTTCTATCATAAAAACTTAAAAGAATTATTAAATTATATTTTAAAATTCCTATTTCTTAAATTTGTAGCTTTCGTACGTATGTTGTCTAGTAAAGATGCGTAGACAACCGTTGCAAGTTAAAAACTAATTATTATAGCAATTTTTCTTAAAACAACTTTTTAGGAAATGTTAAAAATTGTTCATTTTTTTATAATTAAAAATTGCAACATTTTAGACATATTAAAACTACTGATATGCTTTTATTTAAAGATTAATAAGGTCTTTTTGAGTACGTCGTGATATCGATAAATAAACTTTTGATAGTAGTCAACAGACTCGTCTGTAGACTATAGTGAAGTTCATAGTCTAGAATGTAGTAAAGTCTATGGTCTAGTATATACATATATGTAAAATAGTCTATAATCTAGTCTAGTCCATACTCTAGTATATAGTGTAGTTCATAGTCTAGTCTTGTATATAGCCTATTCTATAGGCTATATAGTAACTATACTATAGATATATAGTCTAGTCTATAGTATTGTCTAAAAACTATTCCATAGTCTAGTCTATAGTCTAGTCTATAGTCTAGTCTATAGTCTAGTCTATAGTCTAGTCTATAGTCTAGTCTATAGTGTAGTCTATAGTCTACTCTATAGTCTAGTCTATAGTCTAGTCTATAGTCTAGTCTATAGTCTAGTCTATAGTCTAGTCTATAGTCTAGTCTATAGTCTAGTCTATAGTCTAGTCTATAGTCTATAGTCTAGTCTAGTCTATAGTCTAGTCTATAGTCTAGTCTATAGTCTAGTCTATAGTCTAGTCTATAGTCTAGTCTATAGTCTAGTCTATAGTCTAGTCTATAGTCTAGTCTATAGTCTAGTCTATAGTCTAGTCTATAGTCTAGTCTATAGTCTAGTCTATAGTCTAGTCTATAGTCTAGTCTATAGTCTAGTCTATAGTCTAGTCTATAGTCTAGTCTATAGTCTAGTCTATAGTCTAGTCTATAGTCTAGTCTATAGTCTACTCTATAGTCTAGTCTATAGTCTAGTCTATAGTCTAGTCTATAGTCTAGTCTATAGTCTAGTCTATAGTCTAGTCTATAGTCTAGTCTATAGTCTAGTCTATAGTCTAGTCTATAGTCTAGTCTATAGTCTAGTCTATAGTCTAGTCTATAGTCTAGTCTATAGTCTAGTCTATAGTCTAGTCTGTTGTTTCAAAATTTAAATATTCCATGACTGCCATATATACGAATAACTTTATTTGTAATACTTGTAGCTTTCGTACGTATGTTGCCTAGTAAAGATGCGTAGGCAACCGTTGCAAATTAAAAGCTTTTTTATAGCATTTTTTTATATAAATCAATTTTATAGTAAAATAGATTTAAATCAATAAGAAAATGCTAAAATATTACTAAATTATTTCAAATTTATTGCATTATTTGATATTCTAATATATTAAAAACTAATGGGAACGCAAATGAACTGGGCAGAAGGGGTGAAGGAATGTCTAATTTCCTTTGCCACAACTATACAATTTTTATAGCCATTTATCTTTAAAGTTTTATACCCTTATTCTATAACTTAAAAAAATTCATTAATATTGTTATGAAAACAAATTGCAAAAAAAATTAAAAATAAATAATAAATGTAGCTTTCGTACGTATGTCGCCTAGTAAAGATGCGTAGACAACCGTTGCAAATTAAAAGCTTTTTTATTGCACTTTTATTTAGTAAATCCATATTATAGTAAAAAATAGATTTAAATTAATTAAAAAAAGTGCAAAACTTATAAAATAATTTGTTAAATTTGTAGCTTTTTTCTTCATTGTAATATAAAGGCTGATGAGATCGCTGATGAACCGGACACAAGGGGTTTATAGCTATATTCTTTGCTAAAGCTCCTGGATTTTACCAACTAAACCTAGCATAAACTTAACACCAAGTCAACCTTAACCACTAATTGGGTTGGATAGTGTGATTTTAAACATATTACTGCGTAAAAGAATCCTCTGTATGACAATGGTATATCACCTCTGTGGTGAAGGGATATAGAGGTCCTTAAAACGATCCTAAGATATCTAACTATTATCATTCCCTTATGGAAATTTACGTTAGCAACAAGATGGCTAGCACCTATTTATTATGAATAACAACCATTTCCTTATGGAAATTTACTTTAGCAGTAAGATAATTAAAATTCAAAATAATTAAGTTATTTCTTTCCAAATTGGACATTTGATTAGGCCATACACACAACAATTTCCTGATTATTTAATTCATCAAAATGGATTCCAATTAAAACCAAATGACTAAAACGGGTTATAAACAATACTACTTTTAAGTAGATGGCTCAAAAATTAACTCCTAGTAGACAAATATTACAATTATGCCCACCCCATTTTTTTAGTGTACACTATTGCAATCCAATAATAAAAACACACACACACACAAGTAGTATTTTTTAAGTACTAAAACCGGCGCATCAAAAAACCAACGCAAAAATGTCCAATGATATTATAAAAACAAAAGTTAATGCGTAGTTTAAATAACAAGCAAAAAAATTTCCAGTTCTTACTACTACACTAATTAATGATAATACAATAAAACAAATAAAAACTTAACAAAAAACCGATAAAAAAAACACTTACCTAACAAAGGCAAAGCCACGACTTTCACGGGTATAACGATCGCGTGGGATGTAAATGTCTCCAACATCACCGCAACGTTCAAAAACTCTGCGTAAATCTTCTGGTGTAGTACGATATGTTAAATTATCCACCTACAATAGTTGCAAAAGAGAACAGAAAACATTTATTAAACAATTTCAACTTTTAGCACTTTAAAACAATTCTTAATGAAATTTTATCAAATAAAAAGACGCCATTTTGTTTTTACCCACCGCAGGCGTTAACCCAATTGAAAATTTTCCAATTTGTTGGGAAAAAAAAGCGTTAGAAAATCTTACCTTAAGGGATATCATTCCATCTATACGTGGCGGTGGGCGACCACTGTTATTATTGTTGTGATTCATCTTGCGGCTATTAATTTTGACAAATTTTTATTTAACACAAATTAGAAAAAATTCTTTTATCTCGTGGCTATTTTATTTTTCTTCTGATATAAATCACAAATATGGTGGAGAAACACGTCCACACGGCAAGAAAAGTCAAATACAAATGAACGAATTCATTGCCATAGTTGCCAATCGCTGCTGATTAATTTTTTTCCATTTGTCTGGCAGCCTTGTTGAGTTGCCTTGCCAACATTTATGGGGCAAGGTTTGTTTGATAATAGCATAGAGATGACTCTGAGTTTCCACAATGTCAAATCACATATGAAAAAAAGTTACGTTTATTGAAACCACACCTCATGCAAATTGCTTTGCGAATTCAGAGAGTTTTTACTGCGACGGAACAGACGGCCCTCGGCAGGAAACGTGGATTATATTATGCATCAAGATTTATAGGGTTATATGTATTTTCCCTCTATTTGGAATGCCGTAACTTTATTTGGAATGTTTTGTACACAAACTTAGAACAAAAACTTCTATTAGCCCTATGATTTTGGAGTCTATACTTCAAACTTTTATAAACTAGATTTAAGCAGAAAATTTTATTCAAAAATGCTTTGTATTTTTATAATTGGATTATTTTTTTTCTCTCAGACAATTCAATAAATTATCTTAAAGGCCAAATAGACTACACAAGCTGCTTGACAAACATATTGAATTTTTGTCAAACCATTTGTATGGTTTATATTCATTAATAAAAAATTTTTCAAAAAAAATACATTTCTAAAAAAATTAAGAGTCCACAAAAACGTGAAAAAATCGGTGTTTGTACGAGCAATGTTTGCGTAGTGTGTGTGCGAATGAAAAAAGTATGTTTGATAAGCAGCTTGTGTAGTCTATTTGGGCCTTTACGAATTATTTGAATAAAATCTAAATTAAGTTAATTTAATTAACCCATTTAAAATTAACCAACCGTATTCGGAAATAATTAAATGTTAAAAAATTACATATATTTTGGAAGTTTGTACAAAACTAATTGTAAAATCACAGAAATATTTATATTTTTCAAAATAATCTTTTTATACAACTCAAATTTCTTTAAGTGTTTTCGCACCAAAAACATTTTTTGACATTCTTCTTCAATACTGCTTTCGTATAAAAACTTGGCATTACCAAATTAACCAATTTACATTGAGTTGCCAACTTACAAATCTGACTTTGACGTATACCCACCAAAGACTTTCGCCAGGTCGGCTTAAAACCGTCGTATATGTTTCAATAACGCCGTCAAATATGTATCAACTTATGACGGCTTGAAATTTAAAAAATTTTACCATACAAAAAAACTTTTTTTAAATTAAGAAAGCTTGCTTTTTGCTTTCGTTTTTGTTATTAATTTTAAAAAGTCGGAAAGCTGAAAAGTAATTTTACTTAAATTGTAAAAAATTTAAAAGAAAAAATCAAAATTTGACTTTTTGGACAAAATTCGTCTTATAGAATCCTTATCAAAACATATATGATAACAGAGGTTTTATATGTAAAAATCGGGATTTTAAATATTTAAAATTCCGCTTTTAATCTCTGTTTATTACAAAATTAAAAACACATAAAATACTTAAGTCTTCATAACACAGGTTTTATATAAGACAATTTTCCAAAATACAGATTTTTTCAAAATCCCGCTTTTCAATCACCTCAGATTTCAATATTATTCAATAAAAATTTAAACTTTGCCGACTTACAGTCGATTTTAGGTTGACGGCGTAATTTTTAATGGCAACAGCCGTTAATGTTTGTCGGCACAGGGCTCTGTATCTACGTGGCCATTTTAAGTGATTGGAAAACGAATAGTTGTGGTTAACTTTTTTTAAATTGTGTTCAATAATTTTAAATACAATTAAATAGAAAAAAAGCAAAAAAAGTGCTCCTTTTTACCTAACCACTTTTGGCACCTAAGCGTATTTAAATATTTCATAAATTCCAAAGCAGGTGTGATAATTTTTGTCACAAAAATAATTCTTACGTTCTTCGTACGGTGTTGGTTGAAATTCCTTTGTCGTCGAAACTAGTGAAAAACGTGATTTTCGTGAAACGAGACAAGAAAAAAGAAAGCGTAAAAATATTATAATTCAAGTAAAGAGGAGGGAATGTGTAACAAAAAATAGAAAGGTGTAAAAAATATTAAAAAAAAAATAGTTAAAAAAGAACCAAGTAGCCGAGGAAGTTGAAGTTTTTTCAAGAAACGTGTCTCCGTCTGTTACTGAATCCAACGAAGTAGCAGAAACGCAGTGGTGGACAGGAGTCAACAGAAAAGAAATATATAAAAAAAGCATAGGAAAATTATCGAAGGTTATCTCTACTAGCTCTAACCCAACCGCCGGAGTACAAGAAGAAGTAAAAGAAGCAAAGAGAGTTTAGAAGAGAGTGCGTGTTTTGAAAAGTAAGTCGACAAATAAAAATAACAAAAAAATTTAAGAAATTTCACAATGGCTCAGGATAATGCGGAAATGTCCACAAAATTCTCCACATTAAATGTAAATGCTGCTGAATTTGTACCAAGTTTTACTAGTTTCAGTGCTGCCGCTAGTACTACTCCCCTAAGTAGTGACAACACACCGGCAGCAGCTACAATTGCCCACATGGACACAGCCAGCGTGCCAGCTTCTGCCAGCGGCACTCCTGCCACCACACCTAATTCGGAGGCATCCGGTTCAGGTTCCACAAACGCTCTCAATCAGGCCGACGTACCGCCAGCGGAATCACCCATGCAAACGTCACCCATAAAGACTGCGGCCGCAGCTGCACCTGTAGAAAATATCAACACAGCCGATAAAATTGCAGCCAATAATGGTAATGGTAAATATCGAAAAAATATATCAGAAAATTTATTCGGTTTGGGGTGCAGATTGCACTCTTAACTGACGTCATGACAACATGACATTTTTTCTAAAAAAAAAGAAACTAACTTTGTAAACATCTTGTTCTTTGCCCTAGGAGTAGTTAGTTATAGATCGTTATAGTTGTTGTTGTCGTTCATGGTGTTGTTGTGGTCATTAACCACTAGTTGTTTGCTTCTAACGTTTTATTTAAGGAGTGTTAAGTTTTTTCTTTCATTACAATTTGTTGAATTTTTTTCTTTCTTTTTTTGCTCTAACTACCTACAACCTAACCTCAAATTTATAATGGGGTGGCATTGAATTATTCTATTCTATTTTTAATATTTGTTAAATAAAACAATTTACAAATAAGTATTTGAGGAGTATTTAATTGAAGATGTTTCTATTGTTATTATTATTTAATAATTATAAATTTGTGATTAATTTAAAATTTCTTTTTTTGTGATTGTTTTTGTTTGTGTACTTGTGTGTGTGTGTGTGACATTTTGCTTGTCACATTTTTCTCTTCAATTCTTCATTCAACACTATTTTTCTTCATTTGCAATTTTTTAAACATTTTTTTTTTGTGTGTTATTGACACGTTAACTTTTTCTTATTTTATTTTGTATTCAATTTATTAACAAAAAAATGTAATTATTTAACTCTATGTGAGGTGTTTGTTAATAGTGAGTGTTATGTGTTGTTAAACATGCTGAAGATAGTGGTTATAGGAGATACCTAATAGTAGATTTTAAAAGTTTTTAAAGAAACTTGAAATTTTGAATGGTAATTGTTTAATTTTATTAAACAAATCATATTTTTTAATATTTCCAGGGAAACTTTTTCGGCAGAAACGTAGTTTCAGAGTCCTGCTTACGCGAATATATTTTTAATTTTCAGATTTATATTGAGTTCTAAATGTATTATCTACTTGAAGTCTAGTCCATAGTCTAGTGTCTATAGTCTAGTCTAGTGTCTATAGTCTAGTCTATAGTCTAGTTTCTATAGTCTAGTCTAGAGTCTAGTGTCTGTAGTCTAGTCTATAGTCTAGACTATAGTTTAGTCTGTAGTCTAGTCTAGTGTCTATAGTCTAGGCTATAGTCTAGTCTAGTGTCTATAGTCTAGGCTATAGTCTAGTCTAGTCTATAGTCTAGTTTATAGTCTAGTCTATAGTCTAGTCTATAGTCTAGTCTATAGTATAGTCTATAGTCTAGTCTATAGTCTAGTCCATAGTCTAGTCTATAGTCTAGTCTATAGTCTAGTCTATAGTCTAGTCTATAGTCTAGTCTATAGTCTAGTCTATAGTCTAGTCTATAGTCTAGTCTATAGTCTAGTCTATAGTCTAGTCTTTAGTCTAGTCTAGTCTATAGTCTAGTCTATAGTCTAGTCTATAGTCTAGTCTATAGTCTAGTCTAGTCTATAGTCTAGTCTATAGTCTAGTCTATAGTCTAGTCTATAGTCTAGTCTATAGTCTAGTCTATAGTCTAGTCTAAAGTCCAGTCTATAGTCTAGTCTATAGTCTAGTCTATAGTCTAGTCTAAAGTCTAGTCTATAGTCTAGTCTATAGTCTAGTCTATAGTCTAGTCTATAGTCTAGTCTATAGTCTAGTCTATAGTCTAGTCTATAGTCTAGTCTAGTCTATAGTCTAGTCTATAGTCTATCTATAGTCTAGTCTAGTCTAGTCTATAGTCTAGTCTATAGTCTAGTCTATAGTCTAGTCTATAGTTTAGTCTATAGTCTAGTCTATAGTCTAGTCTATAGTCTAGTCTATAGTCTAGTCTAGTCTTTAGTCTAGTCTTTGGTCTATTCTATAATCTAGTCTATAGTCTAGTCGATAGTCTAGTCTATAGTGTAGTCGATAATCTATTCTATAGTCTAGTCCATAGTCTAGTCTATAATCTAGTGTCTAAGGTTTAGTCTATAGTCTAGTCTATACTGTTGTTGTTGTAACAGTTCGACTGGCCGATAGTTCTTTTATGTAGAAAAAACTTTCGGTTGGTACAGCTGTCACTGGGTTGACAATCTTTGGCCGAGTATGACTCGGGTCGTTCCGGAGCGGAGATCCAATTGTCGTGAGAACGACTGTAGTCTGTAATCTAGTCTATAGTCAGTCTATAGTCTATTCTATAGTCTAATCTATAGTCTAGTCTTTAGTGTAGTATTAAAGCATATTATTTATCCCAGCGTATCATAAGAAACCCCTGGGGTCCGCAGACGATTAATATGGAATCTAATACCTGATTTATTTCATTTTTAAGTTTTTTTTAATGAATTCAAAAATTACATTTTTAGAGAAAAATTTAATTTTTA